AATATATCTATCCCTGTTCAATTAAAGAATTAAGATTAATTAATCATCAAGTTATATTTCTTTGCAGACAGATATCTGACTTAAATGTTGAGCCCCCCCCCCCCTCCCTGTTTTCACGATCGGAAAGTTGTATCAATTTACTTTTTACAAACAGGACAGATGTCTCTTGTTAAAAAAGGAAATCTTCTGAATATTGAATAATTACTGATAGGTAATTCAGTTTCCTAATGTTCTAGGACATCTGTACAAGTCATATAATTATATACCCCTGTTTAAGATTTCCGGTTTCATTTGCTCATATGGGAGTTCCTCTATTGAACAGTACAGTGTTCCATATATAAACTTGTACTATGCCTTGTTAATTCTGTCATTTAAAACATTATTTCTAAATGAATGGTTGGTTGATCGATTACGCAGGGTTCATAAGTACCCAATGTCTGTAAGTCCGAGACTAATAAATAATTATCAGACTAGTAATTATAATTCATGTACTAGCAATTATAGTAATCTTACGGAAAATATTTATATTTACTAGATCAGCGGTAAGACTAATATTAGCAGTAGCGCCATTCTCAAATATTTTTCTTCTCTCCTCTCTCTCTCTCTCCCTCTCTTAAAGATACAAACAGTATTGACATTTTAAGTTACTTAAATACTTGACAAGTGCTTCGTTTATTCACATTGCCGAGGGGGTAGATCACTATTTAGTTTTTAAACTTAATCTTTTTTTTAAAGTATTTTTTTAATCATGATTCAATTATAACAAAAATACTAGAGCAAAGCTCGTTGCAAAGCAACGAGAAGGTCTTCCTTCCTGTTTTGACTGGAAGTGACGTCAGCAAAAAGAAAGCAATGAGCTTAGTCGTCTCCAATCACTTTATAATTTATCAATTTTGCTAAATAATAAGCTATTTTTGGCTACTTCCGGTTTGACCGGAAGTGATGTCGATGGACAGAAAATTAAGTTTTGTGCTTCTTGTGATATATGTTACCCAAAAACTTGTCAAGAACAGCAAAAATATGCATTTTCTGACTACTTCCGGTTTGACCGGAAGTGACGTCGCCGGACGCATTTTGACGACTTCATTAGATTAAGCTTGACATTTTGAACAACTTTGCTTCTTGGACGTATTACAAACTCTCAATGCTTTTTGAGATATCTGGAAAAAACTTTTAGCCCCTCTAGATCCCTTAATTTAGGGGTCAGCCCCTTTTTTTGAGATATCATTCAAAAGATCTTGTAATTCTGCACAAATTTTGTTCTATATGTTTTAACAAAATATTTTTAGTTTAGAAGATAAAAAGCAAAATATGTGTAAATTTTCGCTCTTTTAGGCGTTCTAATTTTTGACCCCTATATAGCACCATCTTGAATAGAGAAATCGAAAAACAACAAGAGGCCCATGGGCCACATCGCTCACCTGAGAAGCTTTGACCATTCTGTTCTTTACCAGATTTCACCCTTGTTATACATAATGCATCCCCACCCTACCCCACTGATCATAATTTAGACATTTTGAAATCTACACTACCCCATGATCCTTCCATGGGCACATAAGTTTCAGCTTTTCTGGCCCAGTGGTTCTTGAGAAGAAGATTTTCAAAGATTTTTCCTATATATTTCTATGTAAAACTTTGATACCCCATTGTGGCCCCGCCCTTCCTCTCGGGGTCATGATTTGAACAATTTAGAATCTACACTATACCAGGATGCTTCCACATAAGTTTCAGCTTTTCTGGCCCAGTGGTTCTTGAGAAGAAGATTTTTAAAGATTTTTCCTATATATTTCTATATAAAACTTTGATTCCCCATTGTGGCCCCACCCATCCCCCGGGGGTCATTATTTGAACAATTTAGAATCTACATTATACCAGGATGCTTCCACATAAGTTTCAGCTTTTCTGGCCCAGTGGTTCTTGAGAAGAAGATTTTCAAAGATTTTTCCTATATATTTCTATGTAAAACTTTGATTCCACATTGTGGCCCCGCCCTTCCACCGGGGGTCATGATTTGAACAATTTAGAATCTACACTATACCAGGATGCTTCCATATAAGTTTCAGCTTTTCTGGCCCAGTGGTTCTTGAGAAGAAGATTTTCAAAGATTTTTCCTATATATTTCTTCATAAAACTTTGATTCCCCATTGTGGCCCCGCCCTTCCCCCGGGGGTCATGATTTAAACAATTTAGAATCTACACTACCCTAGGATGCTTCCACATAAGTTTCAGCTTTTCTGGCCCAGTGGTTCTTGAGAAGAAGATTTTTTAATGACCCCACCCTATTTTTGTCTTTTCTTGATTATCTCCCCTTGCGAGGGGATACAGTGCAGGGAACTAATTTTGTTACATAAACCAGCATCAGGATCAGCATAAGTAGGATCAGGATAAAGCCAGCATCAGCATCAGCATTTTAAAAAACAGCATTACTTGGATCAGCATCAGCAAGCAAAGGATAGAACTAGCATTGACCAAAGTGAAAACAGATAAAGGAAAGTCATTTAATACAAATTAGAAATAAAAATTACCCCCAAAATTTTTTTTAATGGCTTAAAATAGCGATGCTGTTTTTGAATTATCCACTTCTGGCAGGATAATCCTACTTCCGGTAGCATATCTAGCATTGACCCAGTTTCGAACCAGCATCAGGATAAGGATCAAACCAGGATCAGGATAAGGATAACTAGCATCAAAATCAGCAAGAAAAGGAAGCATCAAAATCAGCAAGCATAGGAAGCACCAAAATCAGCATTGATGCTGTAACAAAATTATTTCCCTGCACTGTATGTCCCTTCATTTTAACAATTTAAATTCCCCTTTACCCAAGGATGCTTTGTACCAAGTTTGGTCAAAATTGGCCCAGTGGTTCTTGAGAAGAAGTCGAAAATGTGAAAAGTTTACAGACGGACAGACGGACGGACGGACACACATTTGGTTATATATTGGGTACATCAAGTCCAAGTCCTATTGGATACTGCTTATTGGATACAAAAAAAGTGTACACACGAGAGAGCATTATTTGGGTAGTTACTGTTCAAATCTTATTGGATATTAATCCTCGTGTCCGTATTTTATTGGGTTTTTCTTATTGTTTTTTATTCATTTCAAATTTATTATATATTTAATATTTGCTGGTAAATTCAGACAAGACCGAAAACCTTTGGTTTTGAACCCATATTTTTGTCAATTTCTGTGATATAGCTCTTTTATTGTAACACCTAACTAATTTGTTCTTAGCAATAAGGATATACACCTGTATATTTCAAAATAACTAATATTAAAATATATGAATACCTAAGTGCAAAAAAACTGAATTGTGAAAACACAACTCAACACATCTCAGACTCTGTTCAACCTTTCTTGAATAACAAAATTAAGTATTTATAAGGAGAAACCTTTTTGAGTCGTGACCTATTAATAATAATATAAGCAAATGCCCATTACATGTTGGACAGAATGAAGGTATCCAACAGGCATTGAACAGGTGTCCTATATCTGTTGGGTTGTATTTTGACGAAGGGATTAAACTACCCAAGATAAATTGAACATGTGTACATTGTCCAATTCTAATTGGGTTTCTTGAATCTCCTCATCAAAAGACAACCCAACAGGTAATGGACACCTGTCCATCTCCTCTTGGATATCTACATCCCACCCAACAGGTAATGGACACTTGTCCAATTCTTCTTGGGTTTCTTGAATTGTTTCATCAGAATACCACCCAACAGGTAATGGACATCCGTCCAACTCCTCTTTGATATCTACATCCCACCCAACAGGCAATGGACACTTGTCTAATTCTTGGGTTTCTTGAATTGTTTCAACAGAATACCACCCAACAGGTAATGGACATCTGTCCAACTCCTCTTGGATATCTACATCCCACCCAACAGTAAATGGATACTTGTCCAATTCTTTTTGGGTTTCTTGAATCTTCTCATCAAAATACAACCTAACAGGTAATGGACACCTGTCCAACTCCTCTTGGATATCTACATACCACCCAACAGGTAATGGACACTTGTCCAATTCTTCTTGGGTTTCTTGAATTGTTTCATCAGAATACCACCCAACAGGTAATGGGCACCTGTCCAACTCCTCTTGGATATCTACATCTCACCCAACAAGTAATGGACACTTGTCCAATTCTTCTTGGGTTTCTTGAATTGTTTCATCAGAATACCACCCAACAGGTAATGGACACCTGTCCAACTCCTCTTGGATATCTACATCCCACCCAACAGGTAATGGACACTTGTCCAATTCTTCTTGGGTTTCTTGAATTGTTTCATCAGAATACCATCCAACAGGTAATGGACATCCGTCCAAATCCTCTTGGATATCTACATCCCATCCAACAGGCAATGGACACTTGTCTAATTCTTGGGTTTCTTGAGAATCCCCTCATCAGAATACTACCCAACATGAATGGACACCTGTCCAACTCCTCTTGGATATCTTCCTCCCTTCAATAGTATATACACTAAAAGGTATTGGACATTCTTCTTGGGTTACTCAATTTTTTTTTCATAAGAAAAAAAACCCAATAGGTATTGGACATTGGTTCAACTCTTCTTGGATATTACATCCCAACATTAGAATAAAACCCAACAGGTGATGTTTACCTGTCCAATTCTTCTTGGGTTACTTATACCCTTCATTAAAATTGTCAGATTTGTCTTGGATATTTATACTCTTGCATTAGATTGCAAACCCAATAAGTATGACATTTACCTTCCCTAGCTGAATTTCAAATTTATCTGCATAAACATACAGAAGTCCAAAACATATTTAATACCTTAATTCTAACATTCCACATCTCATTCAGTGTACACTTTACAAATGATAGGAAATATATAAGCATTTTGTGCCTAAACTATTTGGCTTTTAAAGAATTTTATAACCATGTTTGCAAAATTTAAATTTAAATATTGGAACTTGGAGCAAGTCATTACAGGTAGAGCAAGATGCTGAAAACAATACTGATAAATAGATCACACCCTTGATAAAATATTTGCCTTCAGTTGCCAAGATTGTGTTGTATTATATGGAAAATTTCTATAATCCTGTTTATTACAGATACATGTACAATGCATATTTCCCCTGTAATAATAATATACTTCTGAGATGTAAAAGAATGGATTAAATAGTCACCGATGTTAAAAGATATTAAATGATCTCATTAATCTGGTTTGGAAATCACAAACTTAGTTTTGAAGCCGATAAAACAGTGTCGCACCAGAAAACTCAGTTACAAGTACAATGAATGAATTCGTTGTATCAAAACTTTAAAATAATTGATGCACTATGTCCAAATCTTTTCGACAAATCGGGATAAAGATATTAAATTAAATCATCACTGTTATAAGTCTTAGAGCTAGAGAAAAGTCAATACATGCCCAAATTTTACATGTAAGACTTTAATTTGATCCTATATTTCAATAAATGTCAAAATGGTTTTATTTTTGTTTCTGTTCAATACTTTCTTCTACAGGGTCTCTCATGGCCTATACTGTATGATACCTCCATTGACCCTGCTGTTTTATATTGCCATATGTTTATCCAGTAGCAGTGGTTATGCTCAGGCAATCTTTGAAATATTCCTCATTTCATGCATCTCCTTCAGTTCTGCCTCTGTCCATTTTATTCATCCTGCAATTAAATAAAGGCATTTCTTTGCCGTATAAAATATGTTTTTCTTGACTACAGCAAGATCACCCTTTATGTTGATCAAACCCAACCAAGAAGTAGCAGTATATTTCTTATTCAGAAATATGTAATGATAAATAAAATGGAAGAAAAACTAAATTCTATCAACTCTTTTTTTTCCTTCTATGTCTAACTGCATCTTCATCCTAACCCCCATCCGCCATAATTTTATCAAAATGGAACCATCATTCAACACACAAAACGATGTTGCATATTACTTAGACAGTATGTTAGTTACTGATTGTTAAGAAGTAGATTTTACACCTACTTCTTGCAAATTTTAGACTTCTAATGTAACACTATCAGTACATTAGGGGTACATAATCTTCAAAAACATCTCTACACTTAATGATAAAGCTTTCACATTAGTATTGTTTTTAGCCCAATGGTTCTGCTAAAGAGGATTTAAAATTGACCCAAACCTTACTAACTGCATTGAAATTATATTGACAGGGACAGAGACACACTTGACACTCCATCCCCCCTTCCTGGGGTATGCTTTGCACAAAATTTAATTAAAATTGACTTAGCTGGATAGAAGTTGAAAATATGAAAAATTACAGTCAAACAGATTATGAATAACTTTCAGCACATCAGATATGAAGTAGTGATCCTTAAATAAAATACACCTACAAGATGAAGCTGTTTTATCCCTTTGAAGTGATATCTAGTATTGTTTCTTTTCCTGTATGCCACCTCTATCAGAACAATATGTTATACATGTATTAACATAACCTATGACCGTATAGTACCCCAGTATTTACTTTACAATTAATTAAGTTCTGGAACCAACCCTCAGATGCCCTTAAAACAAATGATTCTAAACTGGCAAAGGTAAATGGCATCGGAAGAATTTAAAATAAAATGATAGTACAAACAAGCAAACAGTGTGCATAAAAATGTTGGCAAACACTAAAAAATAAATACTAAGGTACTTTCTCAAACTTTACATGAATACTAAAGAGGTTTTATGTAGCTGTACTGCACATACCAAAAGCTTTCTTGCAGTTAAAAGTTGGTTGCCTAGTATAGTTATGTAGTATGTACAAGTTTTCTCTTCTAATTTAAGAAGCGAAAATGTCTCTAAAAATCTTATGGTTGGCATGAAGTATTCCAGTTCATTTTACTGATTACTTACAATTGTCCTATTTCTGAGGGTCATCTTCTGATGGGTGTGTTCTCTGCAATGTTCACAATTGAAGTTCCTGTTTAACCTGTTACATATTGAAAATCGTCAGTGAACATGATTATGGTTTTAATTTCCATTGTAATTATTGATTACTTTTATAAAAAAAAAATCTAAACAAATTTATTGTAACATAATACCAAGAAAAATATCTATGTAATATAAATGGAAAAAGGGAATCATTATCTCCAGTTATCCTAAAATCACAAGTAAGCATTAATCATATAAATTCACATACGTAAACCCATTAGCTTTTTGTGCTATTAAATCATAGTCATCGCTGTGCAATAAAGGAAATCAAGTACTAATCCACAGCTTCGTGGCAATAAAGTTACTATCCCCGAGTAAAAAGTGACAAGCCCAAATATAGAGGCAAAAATTAAAAAGTAACATTGAAAAAAAGTTAATCGTGAAAAAAAGTCAGGGGCCCGTTTCATCAAAAGTCGTAAGTTAAGCCTTAACTTAGGCGTACTTCCGGGGATTACGCCAAAATTTAGTCTAGCTTAATTTGCGTTTCACCAAGTGGCGTAAGTCTAGTCGTAAAAGATACGCTTAGTCACAGAACTAAGTCCTTGACAACGTTGCATTGCGCTGGCGCAAAAACATAAACATTGTCCAAAGCGTACAAACATGTATAAATTGTAGCACGTCAAAGTACAGAATAACACAAGTTATAGATAAATTAATACTTGCACTAATTGAAACATGCATGGGTTTATAGTGTTATGTAAGAGACATGATTTTTGGAAATTTAATTACAGCCATACCCCCTCTTCCCGAAATTATAATAATAATAAATTTCATGATTCGATAAATACTGATTCTACTAACAAATACTAATAATTAAGTTTGAGACAGAATACGATTTAAAAATTTTAATAAAAAATGTATATGCAAGCAAAAATAATGGAAACAAAATGCAAACGATTTACATATGAACACATTTTGAGTCAAGAAATAATATTTTACACGTTCACTACTATGGTACATGTAAGATAATCCTCTCTGTATTTATTATTTGTTTGTCAATTCAATTGATACATAATTGTTCAGTTATAGAAAAAAAATCTTTACTATCCGCAGATTAAATGCGATGTATCGTTTTAAAAGTACGCAGAGAGAGAGAGAGAGAGAGAGAGAGAGAGAGAGAGAGAGAGGTTTTGAAAAATGACTACAAAGATATTCTTACAAAAATTCTCTGCTTGTGTGGTCTCTGTCTTTAAAATTTAGTTACAGCTACTCTTTATTTTGTTTTCATTAAAATGTAAGTAATGCAGGAAATCAAAAACATGTATATTTTCAACTTATATGTGCTTTATATGCGCTCAGATTATCTTATACTATGTAAGATTTGCTCTTTTAAACAAAATTATGAAAATTAAAGATGTCTTCTGCATCAATGTTTGTCTGAGAAAAAAAAAATTAGGAATAATTCATTCTTGAACTTAACTGTGTAATTATCACCGTCTTACATCGATATTATAAAAGCAATAATTTATTACCACTTTCAAAAATCTCTTATTGTCTATGAGACCCCAACCCCCTTCCTGGGTTGGGGTCTATGATTCGCCGGGAACATCACTTGTCCCAGATACCTAAGAAAATAATTACTTTCGTTTTTAACTAAGTAATCTGTACATTCAATGTTAATTAATCTGCAAATTCGGGAGATTTTCAAGCGGGGTGTAGATATACAGTTATATATGTAAATTGTTTTACAATACCTTAGACATACAATACCACAATCAAATGTGTTTGAATGCATTGTCAGAACGTAAGAAATCTCTAATAAGACCATCTTTTCTTCTCAGCAGAAATTTATCAAAATATTATTTGAGTATGTTATTACTCAAATCAACTACGTCCCCAAGTAGTTGTAACAACCCCCCTCCCCCCTCTTCATAATATGTATAATTAAATAATGCATTGTTTGTATTTTAAATTCTTCTTAGAACCTTACTTTTTATTTAGAACTCGTTAAAATTAATAAAAAGGCCTTATTTTAACTTTACGCCCTAACTTACGCCTACCCATGAGTAGACGTAAAATTTTGGCCTAAATTTAGTTAGGCGTAACGATACACTCTTTAATGAAATGCAAATATTCGTGCTAGTCCCGACTTTATAGTCTAGTCATTCTACTGAAAAATGAGAACTAATTGCAACAGTTTATATTTTAATGCAGATTTGTAGATAAGCTATTAGTAACTCACATATAAAAAGTTTAGAAAAATTCACTCAGGGGAAAGTTGGGAAATCGGAAGATTAAAATTAGGGATCAGTATGAATTTAGAATTACCCATTTGCACACCGTACTATTTCTATATGAGCTTTCTATGACAGACAACCTGTAAACAATAGCCAATTAGCATTTAAAGTTGTTGTTTTAACTTGTAGTTTGTTATGCAATCAAAAGTAAATTAAAAAAATTATATATTTTGATTTTCAAAGAAGTGGAGTTTTGACTTCACCGGCCAAATATCATCTACACAAATATAATGGTTGCAATTACCATTCATGTAAACAACAAAGTATGGAACGCTGTTTGTATTCACAATATACATGTACGTGAAATTCCTAAATGTGAATGTGTTTACTTTCATTTTATCTGTAAACACCTGATAGATAGTTTTGGAATTTATACACAAGAAACAAAAAATGTATGGAACACAAGTAGTATACAAAATAAGTGAAAACAGCCTTTTCTAAAGAATTCTGCAAGGAAGCTTATCATACAAGTACATGTACAATGTATATCAGAGTTGTTACAATTGCATCATCACAGAATATATTTTGATTAAATATATAGAAAATTTATTGAAATTTATCATTTTGAAATAAAGAGTACAGAATTTAGGAATCACATGAGCAGGATTTGATTTGAAGGTCTCCAAGTTAAAAAAATCAAATATTTAATTCCATTCAGGCATCTCCGGAACTTGAATTTGAACTGTGTGATTCAAACAATTTTTGCTCTCCAGATTTACTGCTTATAGCTTTCGTAAAGAGTATTGAACCTTATATAAAAAGCCAATTGATATTGACCTTTTTCTCTATAAAGACTGCACCATGCATCTATGCATGTACAAAATCTGCATTATGTTTATAGTAGTGGAAATAATTCAAATGGAGTCGTTTAGACAGAATTAAATGCTTAAATGCTCTTTTTTCTAAAATTCTTAATGTAACTTTTTAACAAAATATTTTAAACCCATTTTTAAAAACTTCTCCTTGTAGATCATATGGTCATTTTTGCAACAGTAAAATGCCTGATGTAGCACTTATTGAAGCTCCATTTTATGAACCTGGTGATAACGGCGTTTCCGTGAGCATGCTTTAGAATGTGAACAATCATGAACACTTTCAAAGTCACTTCTTAATAAGAGCAACTTTAAACAAAGAAAAGTAGATGGACGTGAATCTCTCTACTATAATTGTACAGTAAACAGCAAAATGCCTGATGTAGCACTTATTGAATCTCCATTTTATGAACCTGGTGATAACGGCGTTTCCGTGAGCATGCTTTAGAATGTGAACAATCATGAACACTTTCAAAGTCACTTCTTAATAAGAGCAACTTTAAACAAAGAAAAGTAGATGGACGTGAATCTCTCTACTATAATTGTATATTGTTTAATGTCCCTCTCGAGAATTTTTCATGCATATGGAGACGCCACCACTTGTCAGTGGAGAGCTGCACATTTTGTTCTATACTCAACACTTTGGGCCATTAAGCAGTGAGGGATCTTTTTCGCGCCAGCGTCCACTGCGACACGGGACCTCGGTTTATACGGTCTTATCTGACCGGTATCCACATCCCACAGTGGGATTCGAACCCGCGACGTAAGGATTGACTCCTTACTTCGCAACTCTAGAGCAGATGCTCTAACCCCTGCACCATGCGGGTGAATTCCTAAATTAAAGCCAAAGTCTTATAATTTCTATTACTGTTAGGATAACATATTTGGGGAAAATATAACAACTTTTACATATGAATTTGAACAAGTAAAAATTGAGTACCAGTATCTACCAAGAGTTTAACATTTAATTCTTCCTTGAAACAAATACTTGGCTTGCTCTCTTTTACTTCATTCCATTTGTGTAAGTGCTTTAATTTGACCTTAGATTTTATTTTTATCAATAAGAATAAAATAATCTACTGTGTGCTTTCAACTGCCCCCCCCCCCTCTTTAAGTAACATTACATAGCAACGGTTTGAAATACATTAAGATTTAAGAAGGGTAACAATATAATAATTATTAACTGCGCAGAACCTTTGCGAGCACATTTCACAATTTTTTGTACTCAATGCAATTTAATTACTGTTGATTCGACCACATCTTGGTCAACAATGATCATTTTCAAGGGATAACAATTTCAGATTTTATCCAAAAACGTGTCTTATCTTTATATTATTGAATGTAGTTGAGGGTATAATTATACTGAAAGAAATCTTGAAATACTTTTTGGAATATTACCATCGAAGCAACATTGACTGCATGTTGCTATGTTCTTATTACACAGGATGGCGTGGTTTCATTATATTGTAACCGAGCAGAAACAAGACCAGGTCACACTTAAATCTTTATTAAACAGCAATAAACGGCAATGGCATATGCCTATAAAAGAATATACATAATTATAACTTTGAATAGAATGAAAAATAACATAAGTAATGAAAAATTAACAAGTTATGAAAAAGAAAAGTATTTCAGAAGCAAATACCTTTACGGACAGCACGAGGAGTTGTGACCTTGAAAACTGGCTGGCGGGACAAGTAATTTCAATCGAACATGAGTATTTACACCTAGACCTACTGCGCAAGTGGGTTGAGTTGATTTTTAAAAAATACGCCAGTCAGGAATGAGATTACAAATGAGTATTCGACAAAAGACTTTACAAAATGTCAGAATCATACTCACTTAATTCAATAATCGAATAAGAAATAAGTTAACAAAAGTGAGTACGGTATTAGCCTAAATAAATATATGAAATAAAATATATGTAATTACTTGGTCACATTATGGAGGGTAAAAAATACATTGATCAATGTTGATCCACTTGATATGAGTAAGATAGCACGTTTATTAAACTCATGAAAAGAATTACCCTGTTAGGGTACCCGGGTGTGGGGTGGGTTCAAGTTCTGATCAAGCAAGAACCATCATACTCATTATAGTGTACAAGCATTTAATGATACTGAAACAGAGTATTTTTTTTTTATTTCTGAGCATTTTATACAAGTTACCAACCAATCATATTGCAGGGACTTAAAACTGGCGTCACATGTTGAAAGAAAATTTTCTGGAGGGTGGACAACACGACTACAATGTAATCTATGGGGAACAGCTTTGCTGTGCGTAAAAAAATTTCAGATTTCAGAATATTTTTTGACAAAAAAAAAATTAACAACCTACCTAATCCAGAATAAAAACATATAAATCTATTTCGGGGAGGAATGGGGTTCTATGAGATTTTCTCACAATTTTCTTCATATACGGGGAAAACCTTTCAGTTACAAGAGGGAATTTTTTTTTAGGGGGGGGGGGCATTTTCTGCTACTTTTTCATAAAAAATTCTTATTGGGGGAAGTCCCCCGACCCCTCTAAATCTGCTCCTAATTATTTTCGGATATTACCTTTCATATGAATTGAAGCATCTTTATTGTTTCTTAACTTTTGGTGATATTTCGTATATTCATGCTATATTTAGCATTGCTGAATACCGAAATTTTTCATGTAAAATTCATTTATAATGTATACATGGTTACCACCGATTTACATAAATCTTTTGAATAATTTCTTTGAAGCATTTATCGCAAAAGAATGCATTTTGAGTATGTGTGTAAACTAACGTAGTGACTGTATTCGTGTTTGTAAAGGTTCATTGTTCAAAAGTAGGTGATATTCTCAATTTACATTGTTTCCATGGCAACCAACACATATAGTAACCCATATTTAATATTTTTCCAATTCAGTTTATTCAGTTAAGTTTATTTCCCTACTTACATGTTTTTTAAAAACCAGTATAGAAGTTTCTACTTTACACTGTACATTTAAAACTTAATCAGAGTGAAAACAAAACGTCCCCATAATGACCTCAATTTTTCAATTTTCCCATGTATAAATTTTTCTAAACTTTCTTTTATATATTCAGATCATATCATAGATTGATTAAAACTAAGTTTTGAAACTGTTGCAATTAGTTCACATTTTGATGGAAAATTTGATAATTTGACTAGACTATTTACGCCGGCGTAGCGCTACGACTGGGCATACGACCTTTGATGAAACGGGCCCCAGGGTATTAACTACAGATGATTCTTTTTAAAATTAAAGTTTAATTTAATTTTCGCTAGTAAAATTTAATCATATATAAATTAATGATTTAAAAAAAGAATTTAAATATTCCTTTTCTGGTCATTCACTAGTTCGTCTAATTAAAACGAAGCAAAAATCATTTTGTTTTCATCTTGAATCATTTAAAGCCATATATGGCGTATGTACAATGAAAATTATTAGACTAGAATTATGAGAACTTATTATTTGTATCATTACTTTATATAAACATGATAAAGATAGAAATTTTCCGTAAATTACAAAATCCAAGTCAATTGCGTTATAAAGATATCAAAATTTAATTTGGATTCTTGGAATTTTCTCCGACTTGGAAGAAAATACAAAAGATTTAAATAACACATTACAGAGTAGATAAAATCGTATTATTAGTTAAAACATTTTTGTGACGTCACCTTTTGTTAAACCTGGTTCAATAAATTTGTTATTGTCCTGCACCCCGTCCAATAAGTTACCTGTAGGTGTCCAATAAGATTCAACTTATTGGACAGGTACAAGTAACATTCAAATGAGAACAAAGGGCGAGGCAAATAAATAAACAGCACTTAAAAGACAATGACAAATCAAACAATTTAATATGAACAATAATGTATGAAATTAGTAGCGTTAAATGAAATTAGTAGCGTTAAATGTTAACATTTCACAATAAAATGTCACAAATAATCCACAGTGAATTGAGTGTCTCACATTCATTATTGAAGACTCATCCGTGGCTCCGATCATAAATTTCCTAAATTCACCGTTCATTAAATGCTATATATTAGATTCATTTCACAATGATTGATCCATGGAACATATATAGAATCCAAGGGACACAAAAGATGAATGAGAAGCATGCGTTTTCTTACACAGAACCTTGGGCTTTTTTGCTTTTTTAAATATTCACTTTTTCCGCATTTAGCACAAAATGTCGCTCATGAAATTCCAACGGAATTTGTAGTAATTTCGATCGGTATTTTATGAACATTTTTCCACCTAGTCCCGCGTTGTTTTAGCAAGTGTCTGTCGCTGTTTTAAGGGATGGCTGCAGTAAAATCCTTCCGAGTTCGAAACCTGCACACAAAAGAGTAACCGTTGCATTAAAAAAAAATCATCAGAAATGATCTCTCAGTTTAATAGAAAATGCTTATACAGTGGTTGGAGTAAAATCCTTCAAATCTTACTGCTTTACAAAAATTACCTGTTAACAGAAACTATTTCTTGCAAATTCCGAAGCATAAGGATATATGGTAGAAAACTTGAACTGAGGCATCTTGGTGTAATCGATAAATGGCATCCTCAAAACTGCCGATTCTGAAGGTCTTTTTTCAAAATTAAAATGTGCGTCCTCATCCGTGGTCCTTGCGTTATTAAATGAATAAATTGTAAAGAATTTAGTAGAACTGACTTTTACGCATGCGTAGTATGGTTAAAAAAATGTCGCAATGCGGATAAATAAGACTAAACAAAGTTAATGTTCATATTTATTGATATAAAACACCTCTCGATGATTCCTACTATTCATAAAGACAGAAGGAAAACCAAAACTGGCTTTCTTTGGCCTTACTTGATGAACAGTGCCAGGTAGTCATCCAAGCAGAACGAGACCTTACCTGTGACTGTCCAATAAGTTAACAATGGAAGTGTTTGACAGTGGTGAAATGTTTTAAGTAAGTTATAAGCCTCAAACTGACCATTATGTCAGATATTAGACTCACCTCGGCGCTAACGCGCCTCGGGTCGTCTAATATCTGACATAATGGACAGTTTTCGGCTTATAACCATTACATAAAACGGGGTTGTTCTCCGTGCTCCGAATTGTATGAAAAGCTTTAATTTAAATGTATTAACTATATTTCTTTACTTAATTTTGTATTTTTCAAAAATATATTTTCTCAGTTACGCCATATATGGCTTAAAAAAACGCTACATAATTGCATGACACTTATCATTGAGCTGATTGGGTGAATGTATATAATTTAATAATGAGATATCTGTGAGGCATATATGTACAAGCAAATATTGCTATATTAAACAAAGGAAAGGGGGAAATTCAAATTAGGAAATAAAAGATTGTTTTTAAGTAATTAAGTCTTGTAGTACTGCAAAATGGATGCAGTTGTCGAGATTTATAGATAATATGAGCATGCTGTCTGGAATATTTCCATATTAGAGAATTTAATAGCAAAAAAAGAGTGAAAATACCGGTGGTGCTTTTCATGTATTATATGTGTATTTTAAAATTCCTAATAGCCCAAGGGGATTCCTCAGTGCAGAAAACCACTAGCCCCATCCTCAAAAATGGAAGCCCCGGGTGTAGCGCGATGCTAATTACACACCCATCATGTGAAATAGTTATCTATAGTAGCCCTATATCAATTTCAGTATTGTTTTTAATTAAAACAGATGACAAAAACAGTAATTTAAAAAAAAAAATCAAAATAAAGCAGACACTCAGTCAAAATCAAAGACAGAAAGAAGCACAGTTTTGACTGAAAGTTTTTCAGTAATACAATGAATCTCTTAAGTTACATATCAGATGAGATAAACTTACATACAATTATTTAGTTGTTGTCAATTATCCCATTTATCATCATCTCAACTCACTTTGCGATTGTAATACTGTCTACATGAACCGATAATTAACAGCTGATTTATGAATACACGATTGTTAAAATTTTCATTTCCCTTTCCAATATACATTGTCAGAACATACTTAGTTGGTTATGATATAAAATAAAATTAAATAATAAACACTTTCGATTTATTAAAGATTATCTAACAATATACGATCATTTACTAAATACTTCTCGCCCTCAAGAGAGTTAAAAAGACAGAGAAAATTCAAAATACAAACAAGTACAACTTAGGATTAATTGTTCCGATATATCTATTTTAATTTTGTGCACAATTGTTTTCAAAATTAAATTAAAATCTTTTTTCCTTAAACAAGAACCCAGCAATGTATAAATATTAATCGAATTAACTTACCTTTTCTCTTGTCAATCAGAAAATCTTGTTGACATTAAGTGTTTCTTATAGTCGCCATATTTTTTTTCATGAAAACAAACGTTGTTATGATCAGGATCAACGGAAGTTGATTTTCGGAACTCTCGAAAATTTAGAGTTCCGAATGTAAAACTGAAACACAAAACACGGTGCGTCCGTGAAAGCAACTTTTTTGGACACTTTTTTGGACAAATCGTCGTGTCCAAGTTTTGTTGGGTACTAACCTGCAAATACCCAATTATGGTGTTTTAAGCATATTCAGCGACACTTCTTATTGCGTATACCCAATAAGCAAAAAGTACCCAATAAGTACAATCTTGGCATGAAAAATACCCAATAAATGCACTCTCGTAAACACGGACGGACAGACGGACGGACGACGGACAAAATGTGATCAGAAAAGCTCACTTGAGCCTTCGGCTCAGGTGAGCTAAAAACCACTATGCACAACTTCAATCCTTCTATTATCTAAAATCAGTAGAATTTTTGCTCCAGCTTTAGCCGTCTCTGAGCCTTTGTCTGGAAACGAAAGCCTATAAATTTTCGTTTAAAGGGAAATAACTCAAAACCGGAAGTGACTTTTTGAAATTTTAGATAACATTCTGATAGAGTTTAGTAACGTCTATCAACTCTGAAAATTTGAGCAAAATCCATCGAGAAATGAGTGAAATATGAGGCCTCGAAGTTGGCGTCTAGGAAAAGGAAAAAAAAAAAGAATAATAAGAATAATCTTAATCATCAGAATCAGTAGAAGGTCTTCCGTTGGAAACGGAAGACCTTAATTACATGTTAAGTACCTTCCATTTTTCCCCTGTAGTTATCGGTGAATTGGAATTAATTTAATTTTATGTGCCGAAATTAAATTTCATCTCATTAAAGTTGGTAGGCGTAGGGGGTGTTATGATGTTAAAATAAGGCAGAATGCGGACTTGTCTAGTAAAATATTACACGAAGTAGTGAAAATTGGAAGTCATTAGTCCGTCGAACCAGTGCTCACAAATATTTATTTCGAACCCTCTAGCATACATGTATAAGTCCCCCCCCCCCCCCCCCCCATGCACACACGTTACATGTACATGAAAAAAAAAATCTAGTATACCGGTACTTGAATATGATTTATAAAAATGTGCAAGTTTTTTTGAATGATGAAAATTTCTTTGTCCATTTGATCAATTTATACCCGTAATCATTATTTATTTCATTCATTTTTCATTAACGTCTTTCCTTTTCATAAGATTAAGATTATCCGCTAACTGTAGGTGCCCACTATCTTCCGTGACGAGTTACCATTCATCTCTCTTTCTCTCCCTCATCTCTCCAAAAAATCAATATCGACCCAGGCAAAGTTTAAAATACATTGTATAGTTAAACTCCGGCTGATTTTTTATTTTACTGTCGTAATACTACTGCATATAAATTGTGTTTGATTTTTAATTATTCTTAATTACTGATTAAAAGGTAAGGAAATATACAATGAACTATTTTTATTTGATTGATAATCAAACAAATTCATCACTCCACTGTCTCACACATACACTAAGTAACACGACTTAACAAACAATATTAGGAACCAATAATTTTTACAAAACTTTGGATGTAATGTACCCCATCTCATATATTAATTTTTGCTTAAATCTTTAAACAATTTGTGCCTTTCCCCGGTTGGTTTTTACATCAATCTTCTTTTTCATTAATCTTTATTTTATCTTACGTCGGTATATTAAAAAAAAAATTATTTAATCTAAGAAGAGGTTGAAGGATTGTAGATTGCATATTTATATTACGTATGTGTTGGTGTTGAATTTCTCAAATTCAAACTGTCTTGAAGAAGAGTCTACCTGTTGCCGTAATGTTGCGTAACAAACTTCCAGTGAAATCCGGCGACTGTTCTTCTGTATAATACAGCAGTGACACCTATTGTCTTCTTTACCCGCTACCGTACACACTCGGATCGCCTCAGGCGATTTCTTCTACACACAGGTGCTTCACAGAGTTTCCGATTGTATGTTGAATGATTATGTAATTCGGCTGGATACCAGCTAAACGACTTGAATATTTTTGGACGAATAAAAAGCACAGTGTTACTGTAAAATCATGATACTGGTTTCAATACCGAACAAAGCTATGAAACGTCGATTTATTAAGTTAATTAAATTTATTAATTTTTTGTACCTAAACAGATAAAAAGGAGTACAAACTTAAACACGTCAGTATTAATTGTGTGTTCTACTTTAATAAAATAAATAAGTACATGTTCAGCGTTCTTCATTAAGTTCGCACGTGCCCCCCCCCCCATTTTAATTTGAAAAGACAAAAAGAAACTAGATCCATGTGAACGTCTACCGACACTCTAGTTGAAAACAACATAATGATTGATATTAATTTCTATCAAAGTTTTGTTTCAGTAGTATGCATAGCCAAAAGATGATAATATAAAATGTCATAGTTTTTCATGTATTCGAATTAAAATAACACTTTCAGGTGGGGATCCAGAAAATCCATATTCGAAAATCAGCTAAAAGATGTACATTATTTCAAAAGAATAATGCGGACAGTAACTAAATCAATGAATGTCAAAGGATCAATGATCAATGCAGGCCCGTAGTCCCCCTCCCCCCGCCCAATGAATAAAATAAAGTCTTTTCTTTTTAAATTTAAACCCCCCATATGTCTTTTAATTTTGGTTTCTTCTTGCAAATGCTTGGATTGGGGTATGAAACAAATATGGGCGGCCTCCACATAATTAAAAATTTTACATAACTATAATAACAAACGCCTTTCTTCAAAAGGGGGCACCCACGGCCTCGCCGCGCGCTATGAGTTTATTAAAATTATTCAAACTAATTTGAATAAATTAAATTAAAATTGAATAAAACACATCTAACCTAACAGTTTAATTCTTTAAATTAATGTTAAAGAAAGTCAGGGAGTCAATGTTAATTAAGAAAATATTATAAAATGCATGTCATGTAATAACATTGTTTTATTATAAAAAGGAAAAAACCTGTGTAAAATTTCATATCTCACTACTAAAGGAAGATTTTTATTTTTTTAATTGCTTATCTTTTTGAAGGTTTTGAAATTTTATCCCTTCTCTTGAAAATATTTTTTTTACAAATCAATTTTCTATAAATGGATCAAAGAAGCTTTTTTTTTTCAAAGATATCATCTGGACATAGTTAAAAATTATATGAAAAAACAAATAAATGAAATAATAATATATGTTAAAATAAAAAAAAATATCGATTTCACACCACTGCAGCCTCCCCGAGAGCGAGAACAATAGGGACAGTAATTATCAGTAAATGTCAGCACTTGCCTAAGTTTTTCAGCAGGGACAGTAAACGGGTCAGTAATTGTCTAAGTTTTTCAGTACCGACTAAGATTGTCAGCACTTTTCTAAGTTTATCAGTACCGGCAGTAAAAAGGTCAGTAATTGTCTAAGTTTTACAGTAACGACAGCACATTGTCAGTAATTTTCTAAGTTTGTCAGTAAAAAATGGGAATGTCAGTACGTTTTTGACTTAGTAGTGTCTTAATTAATACAATTTTTATTTTTAAGGTTAAAGGTCATGTATGAACTTTTTATTTATTAATTAGGTTGTGCATTGTTTTTAGTTTCATTAATCATGGTATTGTGAATTCTGATAACAGATGCCTTTGAAAATATTCATACTTATGCATAGCACTGAAAATATACTTACATATTTTTTTCTTTTAGGAAAAGCATTAGAAGAATGCCTGCATGGGAAGAAAAGTTTTGGACTCTGAAAAGGGAGATGTGACAAATACATTTTGACAGTTATTGATTTCCACTGAAACCAATGTCCACAAGAAAGAGGAACATAGTAGTTTTACGTTGATTCACAACTTTAAATTCAAGAATGTACAGTTGGTTTTATTATAAAACATGACATGTACGAAAAACATTTTCGTGAAATGTACTCTGTCTTCGATACTTATTTATGTGTATGTGATTTGCAGGATAGGATGTGGGTAACATATACTGTCAAGAATCTTGATTTTTTTAATCTTATGTTTGTAAAAAAAATTTGTAATAAACAAAGTTAAAATTACTTTTTGTTACTTTGTATATATTAATTATGATGTCCAGACTTCCGCAGTACCGACTTGGAAGAAAAATCTTATTTATAAATTGCATAAGGCTTTATTCACTAAAATGGAAAACAGAAATTAACTTTTGTGGTAATTAAAGATGGTATTTAATTAAATTTAAGATCTGTAATTATCAGATTTAATATATCCTAAATATGGTGTTTAATGGTTGTAAATATTAACTTTACTTTTTTGTAAAGTCAAGACAATGTGGGACATTACATCATATTTAAGTGCATGTAAAGTTAATGTAAAGGTTACCTTTTCCAACTTTGACTTTTTTCAGAAAAGCCAATTAAAGGCATTGTAAATAATAAATTTACATTATCTTTACTTGTTTTGTAAAGCCGAATTTTCATGCAGTGCAAGTAATTGGCATAATTGAAATATATCTACACCTGGCCATGTTCTGCATATTACTTCCCCATGCCAATTTCAATGCATGCATGCTAACCGCTTCCCAGTACTTTCAGTACTTTGATTATACATTTGTATCAATCAGAATATTTTCTACATTGTTTGATGACATATTCAAGTGTAGTACATATGTGTACTAATGTCTAACATCCTATTGTCTTCATAGATAGTGAACCTCATCATGGTCAAACGGGTTATCCACTTTAGTTAATTTTCCCCACTTTTGAAAATTATTTTGTAGAGTATTTTGTTCATTTATTTTTATGCATCATTATGTGCACATGTGAATCATTAGTTTTATGTAATGTGGTCATTAAACAACTTAACTTTTAGATAATGTTGCACAGTGTTTATAAAGTGAAAAGACTCATTTTTTCATTACTTATGTTTTATATGTCACATTTTGCTGGAAACTGACCAATAAACAACGTAAACTTTTTTCAGAGCCTTGGTCATCTTTTTCAGAGTTATCACCCATGACAAAAAAATCTTGGTGA